AAATAAATAAATAAATAGTACGTGGAGAAGATAATATAAAGGAAATAATAAACAAATAATACTAAGAGAAGATATAATAAGAATTTTTATTATCAAAAATTTAAACAGAAAACCAGCGACAAATAAAATAAACAAATAAAATAAACAAACAAAATAAATTAATAAAATAAATTAATAAAATAAATTATTAAAATAAATTATTAAAATAAATTAATAATATAAATAAAATAAACAATATAATTGGACTATTTAGATAGATGAGTAAGACAAACAAACGAAAATAAATAAAACAAATAAAATAAATAAAATAAATAAAATAATAATATAAACACACGAAATAAACAAATGAAATAAACAAACAATAAATAAATAAAACATTAAATACGCAAATAAAGAAAATAAAAAAATTAAACAACATTAACGAATAAGCAAGCGGATGATTAATAATAATAAAATAAAAACTACAAAGAAAAACAAACAAACAATAAATAAATTAAATAAATAAATAAATAAATTAAATAAATAAATAAATAATAAAACAATAAGTAATTCGTCAGTAAGAAAGAATTTGTGAAGAGAAAATAAGTGCATACAGAACAAAAACAAACAAACAAAATAAATAAAATAAATAAAATAAACAAATAATATACGATAATAATAATAAGAATAAATAATAATATACAATCAAACAAAGAAATATTTTTAATTTTTATTTGTTGCAGCAACAAAACAAATTATAGAGAGTCAGAGATATATAAACAAATAAATATATAAATATATATATACATATATCTATATATACATATATATATGTATATATATTTATATATATTTATATATATAAATATATATTTATATAAGGAAATGCAAGGAGAAGAAAGTCGTATTATAGATAGATGCAGACAGTGTAGACAAACAAATGCAAAGAAAAAGAAGAGTGAAGCCTAAGAAATAAATATATATAATATATATATATACATATATAAAGAGAGAGTAGAGACGAACAAATATATCAAAACAACCAAGAGAGACAGAAGAAGATGTTCAAAATAATAATAGTAATAAATAAACAAATAAACAAATAAACAACAGAGCAAAGGAGAAACGAAGAAGACGCACTGCATAAACAAACAAAATATAAAATAACAAACAACGACAACAACAAAACAAAAACAAAAAAAGAAGAGGGGATGAAAAAAATAAATAAATCGAAGCGGACGAAGACAGAGACGAAAAATATTTTAAACACTAAAGAAGCAGAGAGGTAAATAAATTAAGTAGATAAAATCAAATAGATATAAATAAATATAAATAAATATAAATGAAGTAAATAAAATAGATTTAATAAATAAAATAAAGATGAGAACTACAGAGAGGAGGAACGGAGACAGGAAGAAGAGACGAATAAACGGAGAAGAGACAGCAAATAAATAATAAGAGCAAATAAATAAATAAATTAAATAAATAAATAAATAAGTTAGGAGGTAAATAGAGAAAGAACGACAAATAAATAAACAAAGAAGAGATGAAACGAGAGAGAGAGAGACGAAAAGAGAAAGAGGGTTGTTGTTTGTATGGGTGTGTAAACCCTAAACCCTAAACCCTAAACCCTAAAGAGTCTCTGTCTCTTCGTCGCTATGCGGTATATCCAAATATAAACTTAACGCGATCTACAGGCCCTTCAGTTCTAAAATTTCTCAAACCCTAAACCCTAAACCCTAAACCCTAAACCCCGAGTTGAAGACAAATTTAAGAAGAAAGCCGTTACACGCACTGCTGTGCAGCTGCAAAACAAAAAAAATAAGGGTTTAGGGTTTAGGGTTTAGGGACACCAAGCAGAATGCGTCGAGAAAGCGCTTCTAACGAAGAGATAGCCTAAGAAGAAAGCACAAACACATTTAGGGTTTAGGGTTTAGGGTTTAGGTAAGCAGCACGATAGACAGCTACTCCTGCACTTTCTGCTGCTACGGTGGCCCTTACAGTTGCTGCTGCAGTTGCTGCTGCTGCTGTTGTTGCTGCTGCTGCTGCTGCTGCTGCATTGTGTGTCTTACTTCATGCGTCCGATTGGCGGTAGAGTGTGCGCTTCTGGCGGAGGCGAGAGGGGACGAAAACTCCCTCAGAGGGCCTGCTGCTGCTGCTGCTGCTGTTGCTGCTGCTGCTGCTGTTGGAGTTGCTGCTGCTGCTGCTGCTGCTGCTGCTGCTGCTGGTGTTGGGGTGCTTAGAGGAGGAGAACAGCCAGGGTGTTGCTGCTGCTGTTGCGTCTCTTCCAAGCGAAACAAGCGCAAAGGATTTGCTGCCTGCTGCAGAGGCCCGCTGCTGCTGCTGCTGCTTGTGCTGCTGCTCCCTGCTGCAGCAGCCGCAGCAGCAGCTGCAGCAGCAGCAGCCGCTGCAGCAGCAGCTGCAGCAGCTACCGGTGCTGCACCATCTGCTGCAGCACCACGCTGCGAGGTGTAGGGGCCCGCCTTCGCTCTTTCTGCAATCCGCTGTATTCTAGCAGCTAAATCTTCTTGCTGCTGCTGCATGCTTGCTGGCAGCAGCTCTTCCTCTTGCTGCTGCAGCTGTTGCTGCTGCAGCGGTGATGCGGTGCTGCTTCCTCGCGAAGCGGGGGTGCCGATGGAGACAGTTCTGCGCCTTGCTGCTGCTGCTGCTGCTGCTGTTTCTGCTGCTGCAGTAGGCGTAAAAGGAGATTGTAGCTGGTGCTGCTGCGGCAGCTGGAGCTGCAGCTGCTGCTGTTGCTGCTGCTGCTGCTGCAGCATGTTGGACTCGCAGTCTTGCAGATACTGCAGCACCAGCGGGTCTACTTGAGCAGCAGCAGCTTCTGCTGTTGCTGCTGCTTGGCATGCCCTATCTGTTGTTTGTTTTGCTGCTCGCTGCTGCAGCAAAAACAGCTGCTGCGCAAGAGAGTCTCTGATTTCTATCTCCATATCTCTTTCTCGCTTGAGTTCTGCTGCTTCTTGCTGCTGCTGCTGCTGCTGCCGCTGCAGCTCTTCTATCTCCCGCCGCAACGCAAACACCTGCTGCTGCTGCTGCTGCTGCTGCTCTATCTGCTGCTTCTCAGCAGCAACAACACGCTCCATTAAACGCCCCGTACGCTCCGTATGCCTGCACAAACCCTAAACCCTAAACCCTAAACCCTAAACCCTAAACCCTAAACCCTGAGGCATCTGGCTTCTACATTAAACCCTTATTCCTCAACACTATCTTACATGCGCTTCTCTGCAAGCAGGTGCGGCAGGTGGGTGATCTAGGGTTTAGGGTTTAGGGTTTAGGGTTTAGGGTTACGTTTGTATGAGGGCCTCTCTGTCTGCTGCTGCTTGTTGCTGAGCTTCTTGAAGTCTTTCCTGTAGTTTTGCTTCTGCTTGTTTTAATTTAGCAGCAAAGGAATCAGCAGCAGCTTTAAGTGTCTCCTCTGATTTTGCTGCTGCTGCTGCTGCTTCTGCTGCTGCGCTGCGCTGCTGCTGCAGCAACTCCAAATCGAAGTCCCTCCGCAAGCAGCAAATTGCTGCTTCATGAGAAGCCTGCAGCTGCTGCAACTCGTTGCTGTGCTGCAGCTGCAGCAGCTGAATCTCCTGCAACCAGCAGCAACAAGAGCAGCAGCAGCAGCAGCAGCAGCAGGATGAGATTAAAGACCCTTAACAGTAGTGGAGGCGTTCTTTACCTCGCAACCACTTCATATCCCAGACACGCATAAAACCCTAAACCCTAAACCCTAAACCCTAGCTGCTGCTACGTTGTGATTCCCTTACGACTTAGCATACATCCTTCTAAACCCTAAACCCTAACCCCTATCACCAACACCCTAAACCCTAAACCCTAAACCCTAAACCCTAGCCGCTAAAACCTTAAACCCTAAACACTAGCCGCTATGCCCTAAGCCCTAAACCCTAACCCCAACCCCCTAAACCCCTAAACCTCTAAACCCTAAACCCTAAACCCTAAACCCTAAACCCTAAACCCGATATACTTGGTTTTTTTTGTTTAGGGCCTGTTCAAAGGCGCGTTCAGCTTCTGCTTCTTCTTTGCGTTTTGCTGTTTTGTGGCTTTCCTCCGCTCTTTTTTGCTGTAGTCTTTGATCGTCTTTCAGCGTCTGCAGCTGCAGCAAATACTCTAAACGAAGCTCTTCAAGCGCCTTCTGGTGAGCTGCGCACATCAAACCCTAAACCCTAAACCCTAAACCCTAAAGGAAAGGTCTCGATAGTAAGCCCTAAACCCTTAACCCTAAACCCCATGTGTAGATGGTAAACCCTAAACCCTAAACCCTAAACCCTAAACCCTAAGCCCTAAGCCCTAAGCCCTAAACCCTAAACCCTAAACCCTCGACTTGAAAAGCTGTCTTTAGGAGTCTCCTTAAGGGGCTATGGCTTGATGAGGAGCACCTTGGTTTCGTGAGGGTTTAGGGTTTAGGGTTTAGGGTTTGTACCTTCGTTTGCTTTTTTTATTGCTGCATCTGCTAACTCTCTTTCTTGACGAATCCTTGCTTCGGTTTGCTGCTCTCTTTTTCTTATATCTGCTTTAAGGTCTCCCTCACGCATGCGCTGCAGCAGCTTCTGCTGCTGCAGCTCCTTCTCCTGCTGCTGCTGCAGCCGCTGCAGCAGCTGCTGCTGCTCAGCAGCAAACTGCTGCTCCAGCTCTCGTACCGCAGCTTCATGCTGCTGCTGCTGCTGCTGCAGCTGCTCTTGAGCTTCCTTTAACTGACGCAGCAAACTGTCGGCACCTGGATGCAGCAAACCTAAACCCAGCAGCAGCAGCAGCAGCAGCAGCAGTAGTCAGTCAGTCTTTTTTAATTTGCAGTAACACCAGGCATATGAACAAGCAGCAGCAGCAGCACCAACAGCAACAACAACAACAGCAGCAGCACCAACAACAGCAGCAGCAGCGGGGGCTCCCAGAGAAGAGACAGCGGCAGTCGTTTATATATATAACAAGCAGCATCAGCAGCAGCAGCAGCAGCAAGATAATCAACAATGACAACAGCAGCAGCAGCAGCAGCAGCATGACGAACCTTCTGCTTCTGCTTCTGCTTGTAGTTTGTATTGTTTGTGCTGATCGCACTTTAATTTATTTATTTGTAATTCCAGCGCTGCTATTTGCTGCGCTGCAGCAGCCTCAGCCTCGGCTAGCGCAATCTTCTGACGGTTCTCTAGCGCCTGCAGCAGCAGCAGCAGCAGCAGCAGCAACAACAACAACAATGAGTTTTTCTGCTAATGTAGGGCAAGTAGAAGCAAGAGGTTCCACCGAAAATGCAGCAGCAGCTGCTGTTGGAGAAGCAGCAGCAGCAGCAACAGATGCAGCAGAATAAACAAAAGCTGAGGCGGGTGAACGATATAATGCAGCAGCAGCAGCAAGCAGCAGTAAGGCCTAATCGATGAGGAAGGAGGACAGCAAAATGCGTCTCCCTTGTTGTTGCTGCTGCTGCTGCAGCTGCTGCTGCTGCAGCAGCTGCTGCTGCAGCGGTTGCTGCTGCTTACTTGTATTTGCTGTTCATGCGCCATCTGAAGCTGCAGCAGCATCTCCGCATGCTTGGATTCTTTTTGCTGCATTTCATTAATATGTTTGATTCTTTGTAGCTCTATTTGTGTTTGTTTTGTCTCCAGCAACGCCTTATCACCTGCTGCTCCTGCTGGCAGCACAACCCGCAGCTGCTGCGTCTCCTGCTGCTGCTGCTGCACCTCTTGAAGCTGCTGCTGCAGCTGCTGCAATTCACACTGAAGCGCCGCATTCTGTTGACGCTGCACAAGCCACAAACCCTCGAAACCACAAACCCTAAACCCTAAACCCTAAACCCTCATCAAGCAATGGAGTAGCAGGTTTAGGGACAACTTAAAGATTTAGGGTTTAGGGTTTAGGGTTTAGGGTTTAGGGTTTAGCGTATAGGGGTGGTTACAGCTTAGGGTTTGGTAAGGGTTGGGTTTACGAAGATTTAGGGTTTAGGGTTTAGAGGGTTTTAGGGTTTAGGGTTTATGAAAAGAGACGAAGAGGCGACAAGCAAACAAACAATAAACAGATAAATAAATAAATAAATAAATAAATAAATAAATATTATCATGAGGGAGATGACTTACAAGCGCTGCAGTTTGTGCATCGATCGCTGCCTTGGAATTTAGCTGCTGCTGCTGCTGCTGCTGCTGCAGCTGCAGCAACAGCTGCTGCGGATCCTGTTGCTGCGGCTGCTGCTCTTGCTGCTGCTGCAGCTGGTTGCTGCAGCCCGAAGGCAGCAGCGCCGCCTCGACTGCCAGCAGCAAAGAAGAAGCCTCATGAAGACGCGCCTGCAGGCAAACCCTAAACCCTAAACCCTAAACCCTAAACCCTAAACGCTAAACCCTAACAATCCAAAGGAGACAAAGTTAAACATTTTTAATTTGCCTCACCTCTACCCGCCCTACTTCCGAGAGTTCTCCTGTAGAAAGAGACCGTTGAGAGACATCTTGCTGCTGCTCTTGCTGCTGCTGCTGCTGCTGCTGCTCTTGCTGCTGCTCTTGCTGCTGCTCTTGTTGCTGCTGCCGCAGAGGAAGGAAGTTGTTGAGGCTCTCTGCTGTTGCTGCAATGCTGCGGAGGGCCTCCTCTAGGTAGCTTAGCTGCTGCGCTGTCTGTTTGTCCCAATGCCCTGTTTCTGCTGCTTCTGCTGCTGCTGCTGCTGCTGCTTGCTGCTGCAGCAACTCAATTCTCCTCAAACCCCCGACAGCAGAAGACAGCATCGTCTCTAAGCCGCATATAAACTCGGTGCTTACAGACAAACTGCGGTCTGAGGGAGACAGCAGTTCCTGCTGCTGCTGCTGCTGCTGCTGCTGCTGCTGGAGTTGCAGCTGCACTTGCTGCTGCTGCTGCTTGCTGCGATGTTGGTGTCTGTGCTGCTTCCGTTTGTGTCTTCCCCCGCTGCTGCTGCTGCTTATACTACTACTACCGCTGTTGCTGCTGCTGCTGCTGCTGCGGTGGGTAAGTGTTGCTGCTTTTCTGCTGCGACGCCGCAGCAGCAGTTTGCTGCTGCTGCTGCTGAACCCCCAACGCTTCGATCGGGGTCTAACAACAAAGCGCGAAGGCAGCCGATTCTGAAAGGCCCTCTCAATTGCTGCTTCCTGCTGCTGCAGCAGCAGAGCGAGTTCTCCTGTGCTGCTGCTGCTGCTGCGAGCTGCTAACACATGCTCTTGTGCCGCCTTCAATGACTGCGCCAGCTGCATACACACAAACAGCAGCAGCCGCAGCAGCAGCAGCAGCGGAAGCAGAAACAGCATCATGAAGCAGCAGAAGCAGCAGCAGCAATAGTAGCAGTAGCAGCAACAGCAGCAGCAGATGAATAGGCAAGCCAAAACGGCTGAGGGCTGTAAACGCAGCAGGGGGACCTGCAGCAGCAGCAGCAGCAACAGCAGTAGCAGCAGCAGCAGTAGCAGCAGCAATTTCTTACAGCTCTGTTATCATCTCTTAGTTGCTGCGTCTCCTGCTGCTTTCCTTCAGCGTATGAAGCCAGCCTTTCAGCTTCATCTTGCAGCTGCTGCAGCTGCACTGCTGCTGCTGCTGCTGCTGCTGCCGCCTTTTCTTTCTCCCCCTAAAGGCGCAGAGCAATCGCAAACAAACAAATGCAGCAATTGCTGACTTATGCTGCTGCTGCTGCTGTTACTGCTCCTGCTGCTGCTGATGACGATAGCTGCCCTCTGATCTTTGCTGCTCGTGCTCTGCCTCATGTTCTGCTGCAGCATTTGCTGCTGCTGCTGTTGCTGCAGTTGCAGCTACAGCTGGTGCTGCTGCTGCTGCAGCAGCTTACCTTTTCTGTTTCTAATTGAGCAAGAGAATCTGCGAGCTGGTGCTGCAGCCTTCTGACTTCAGCAGCAAATGTTTTTGCTTCTGCTTCTGCTGCTTCCTGTTTCTTTGCTGCAGCCTCTGCTGCAGCATTTGCTGCTGCTGCTTCTGCTTTTGCTGCTTCTTTTTCTTTTTGCTGCTCCTCATATTTCCAGGGCGTCTCGCATATCTACGAATTAAACAAAAAGACAGAGATAAACCCTAACCTCAGCTAGCTAGCTAGCTAGCTAGCTAGCTAGCAGGTGGCTAGCTAACAGGAGCAGCAGCAGCATTCACAGCAGCAGCAGCAGCAGCAGCAGCAGGATGAGGGGCTCACGTGTTTGACGAATTTGAGGGTTTCTTGCTGCAGCGCTCTGAGTATTTTAGCGAGCAGTGTCTTCTCTGCTTCTAGCCGCTGCCGCAATTGCTGCACTGCCTTCTCTGTAGGCCGCTCTGCTAAGACAAACCCTCGTAAGGGAGCCTGCACAACCACAAACCCTAAACCCTAAACCCTAAACCCTAAAACCTGAATTGTAAGGCCCAGGGAGTTTAAACTCGGCGCTCCGACAGAGCCTCCCCTTCCCTCACCAAACCCTAAACCCTAAACCCTAAATCCTAAACCCTACACCCTAAACCCTAAACCCTAAACCCTTACTTGTAAAGCCTTCCAGGCGTTGAGGTTTAACTTCAGCCACTCTTTAATTGCAGGGAAGCTAACATCAGAAGGTGCAGCTCTTATTGCTTCTACCTTCTCTATCAGCTCTTGCTGCAGCAGCACTGCTGCATCTGCTGCAACAGCATGACGCTCCTCTCCTGCTGCTGCTGCTCCGGGGCCTCCTGCTGCTGCTCCTCCTGATGCTGCTGCTGCTGCTAGGGCCTCGCAATCTGCTGCTAAGCCGGCAATGCTGGAGGGTTTAGGGTTTAGGGTTTTCGCTCTAGGGCTGTCAAGGGAAGAACCGCAACCCAACAGCAGCTGCTGCTGCAGCTGCAGCTGCTGCAGCAACTGCTGCTGCTGCTGCTGCTGCTGCTGACCTGCTGCTGCAGAGGCAGAAGCCTCCGTCGCACGCTGCTGCGCCGCTCGCAGCTGGGCCTGCACAATCAACAACTCCAAACCCTAAACCCTAAACCCTAAACCCTAAAACCTAAACTGCTGGAAGCCCCTCCGCTAGCAGGATCTGGGGAGGTGGATCGCTGAACGCGCCTTTAGGGTTTAGGGTTTATAAGGGTTTAGGGTTTAGGGTTTATACCTGAAGGCGGGTGATGGTTTGCTCTTTAGCTGCTAGCTGGAGTGCTGCTTCTTTCTGCTTCGCTTCTTGCTGCTGCAGGCTGCTGCGCAGCTTCACCAGCTGCAGCTGCAGCCTTCCGCGCTCCTTTACTCGCTGCTGCTGCAGCAGCACATTTGCTGCTGTCTTCTGCTGCACCTCCTGCAGCAAACTCTCTATATCTAGCCCCCCTAAAAACCCGCAACAAACCACAAACCCTAAACCCTAAACCCTAAACCCTAAACCCTTGGAAGCAGGAGTGGAATAGAGCTGCAGCCAGAAGCTGCTTGCTGCAGTGAGGCTGCTGCTAGGCTTGCGTACGCTTCAGTAGGACTAAGTAGGGTTTAGGGTTTAGGGTTTAGGGTTTACCTGCAAGAGTATTTGCAATGTAATGATATCTCTGCATGCCCCTAACGAGGTCTTCTACTTCTGTCTTTAGTTTATCAGCAGCAAACCCTAAACCCTTCGCCAAACCCTCAGCAGCAAAGCCGCTCTCTGCTGCAGTGCTTACAGACCATACATCGCTGTCCTGCGCCCCAACAACAAACAACAAACCCTAAACCCTAAACCCTCGGCAGAAATGAAAGATGCATGCGCATCGTCTAATGCTGCTCCTTCTCTTGCTGCTGCTGCTGCTGCTGCAAGAGCAAGAGGCGGCCTTAAGCTTTGGTTTGCTTTAGGAAGTGAGATGATCGCTTCAATCAGGTTATGTTTAGGGTTTAGGGTTTAGGGTTTAGGGTTTAGGGTTTAGGGTTTGGCGTACGCGCGTGAGGTTTGTGCCGGGCTCTGTGAAGTCTGTCGTCCATTGTCTTGAAGGGGTTACAGGGGAAACACCCCTGCTGCGGGTTTGGCCGTGCATTGTGCTGCAAACCCTAAACCCTAAACCCTAAACCCTAAACCCTAAACCCTCCACCGCGGCGGGAGAGGGCGGGCGGCGGGAGGGGGCGGGCACAGCGAGAAAAAGCTTAAAACAAGTTTTGAATTGCAGCATCAATAACTGTAAACCATCAAATAAGGGGTTTGGGAAGAATGCATTAGGGTTTAGGGTTTAGGGTTTAGGGTTTCTAGGGTCCTGAATTCAGTGGTCTGGTTCAGCGGCCCACCACCACCGAGGCAGAAACCCTAAACCCTAAACCCTAAACCCTCAACCCTTAACCCTAAACCCTTAGGGTGTAAACGAATTCTTTATTGCAATTTGTAGGAATTAAACAAGTTGTGCGGGGCCTGTAATCCAAAAACCCTAAACCCTAAACCCTAAACCCTCGCGGGCCCCAGCGGTTCATTGCGCGGCCGACCGGCCTGAGCTGCCTAGGGTTTAGGGTTTAGGGTTTAGGGTTTGCAGTCCTTATAGTTGTTTTTATCGCGATTAAAGAGACATGAATCTGCGTCTTCTTCTTTATTGTCCGATTGGAGCTGCTCTTGACAAACCCTAAACCCTAAACCCTAAACCCTCAACTTCGAGGCTGTCTCGTCTGGCCGCTGCCGACACCCGACAGCTTAGAACCTAAACCCTAAACCCTAAACCCTAAACCCTAAAAGTTGGACTCTAAACCCTAAACGCAGCTCTTTACTCTTGCAGTAAGAGCCCAGCGGTGTGTATTCCACAGATTTAGAGTTTAGCTTTGAGGGTTAAGGGTTTAGGGTTAAGGGTTTAGGGTTAAGGGTTTAGGGTTAAGGGTTTAGGATGAGTGGAAGGTCCGGCTGTTGAGATGTCGCTGTGTCTTTTAAGGCCCCCTTTCAGGGCTTCTTTCTTTCGCTGGTTGGTGTTGGGGTGTATATGCAGCTGGTTGGGTTGCATAGTCAGCTCGGGATACAGCCGCAAGGGCGCCAGCAGCAGCAGCAACAGCAGCAACAGCAGCAACAGCAGCAGCAGCAATATTGGGGGCCCCTTGTCTCCTTTTAATTCTTTTTTTTCTTCTTCTACCTCTGATTCTCCTTTTGTTTTTCTTGAAGACCGAGAAGCCGGGGAGTCAGAGAAGGAGACAGCAGGAGAGACAGCAGCAGAGACAGCTGAATCTGCAGGAGGACCAGAAGAGGCATCTGCTGCTGAGTCTGTTGCAGAAGCAGAGTCAGAGAGAGAAGCACCGCGGCGCAGAGGAGCAGCAGCAGCAGCAGAAGAAGAAGAAGAAGCAGAAGAAGAGGGATTCGAAGAAGGGAGAGAGGAAGAACGCAGAAAACCACCAGCAGAAAAAGCAGCAGCGCCAGCAGAAGCAGCAGCAGCACCTGGAGCTGAAGAAGCAGCAGAAGCCGCAGCCGCAGCAGCAGCAGCAGCAGCAGCAGCAGCAGGAACAGCAGCAGCACTCGCAGCACCTCCTTTGGGTGCTGTTCCTGTTTCTGAATTCACACCTCAACTCGGCTACAGCGATGGAGCTGAACTCTGTAACTCCGTCTCCTGCCGCAGCGTTCTATCAGGCGCAAGTCCCTCTCTCCCTATCAAAGGTCAGCACAAACCCTAAACCCTAAACCCTAGAGCCGAGCTGGTTCAATAGGTTCTCCGCGTTTACACTCTACTGTAAAACCAAGCGCCCGGCTCCACACTTGAGAGTTTAGGGTTTTGGAATTAGGGTTTGGGGTTTGTCTTTAGGGTGCAAGAAGGCTGTGAAGTGCGGAGGCTGTAAACCGGGCGGAACGCCTGAAGGCAAATGCCTCCAGTGGAAACCGCCGAGACAACCGGAAGTGCTGCTAAGAAACGGAGCCTATTACGCAACCAAGGTAAACTGCTGCTGCTGCTGTTTGTCATGCTGCTGATGGTTCTCATACTTCTGTTTTCGATTTAGCAGTAGTAGGAACGGTGGTAGGAACTGCTGCTTGTGTACTGGTGGCCGCTGCTGGTGTTTTTCCAGCTGCTGTAGTTCATGCTGCCACTGCCGCTACTGCTCTGGTTCCTCCACGGTAAAGCTTCTGTTACTACTCATGTTTCAGGGTTTGGAGTCTTCAGTGTCTTTTATTTCGGGTTTAGTGTTTGGGGTTCATGCTCATTGTTTACGTTTTTCGGCTGATTGTTAATAATTTATTTTTTATCTGTTCAGCGTTTATCTCGGTCCGGGTCTTTGGATTTAGCAATAAAATGGGACACGGAAAACGTTCCGTTGGACTTTTCTCCCTGCCTGCTAGACGTTAAACAAGCAACCCTAGCCAGTAGAGAACTGCGAGAGACAGGTAATCCTCTCGACTTTCTTTTCTTGCTGCTGTCGCAAGACCGGCAGCAGGGGCAGCAGCAGCGGCAACAGGCCGCAGCAGCAGCAACAGATGCGAAGAATGCCGCAGAACAGTGGAAAGATGCCAGTGCTGGTTTTAATAGTAGGGGCAATCAATCCCTTCCGTATTGCATTTTGTTCAGCCAGGGTTTAGTGTTGAGGGGTTAGGGTTTATGTTTCTCAGGGGGCAGCAGTGTAAGTGTAAAGAGTACAAGCAAACATCTCACAGTAGAAGAAACGTTATTGGGTTTAGGATTTAGGGTTTATTTTCCGATCATATAGCTCTTGTTTTTCGTGTGTAAAGTGCATGCATACAAATATATAGCTGAAACCACATGCACAAAATATATCACACATGTGTCATATGCATACATCTGCATTTGTTTGTGTGTACAAAGGCATTGTGATGAGATGAACGATAAGTTGAATTAATTGAATATACGTTGAGTTGGTTTAATTAATGTTGGATTGATGGTATAGAAGTTGAATTCATTAAATGCATACTAAAGTGATTGCATACATATAACTAGTGATGAAAGAAGCTTCAGTTTCTTATTGTCTCACCGCGTTTTCTCTCAGTTCATAGAAATACCTGGTGTTCTTAGTGTGCCGATTACTGCAGGAAACGTCCGCGCGTTTGGTTTCCATCGCATGGTGCAGCTGACGTTGGCGGTGATCCGAATTCCAGAAGAGGGAGCAGAAAGAGCTTCGGTTCCGAAAGTATCTTTCGGAATTAAATTAAATGAAGGACTTGGAATGGCCCGTGCTTTCTCTACTGCCGCTCGACCTGTCGTTACACCCGCGTGCTTCGTCAGCGAACAGCGCAGCAGTGTACTTACGCTTCAATCGCAGGAAGCTTCATTTTTCACTGGGTACGTTCAATCACTTCATTTTATTTGCAATAAATTCAACGTACATTCCGTCGATCTATATTTTACTGAATTAATTCAATACAAATTCAAACAATGCATATTCCGTAGAGCCAGCTTTCATTCACCCACTTCAATTAATATTCAATTTGTTCAGTTTCCATTGCACCGATGCAGCTTTATTTAAAACAGGTGAATTTGTATTCACCCAAATGAATTGAATAAATTCAAATCTAAGCAGTTGATTGTTTTTACTCAGTTCCCTTAACCTGTGTTGCATCAATACAACTTTAGTGCTAGCCACCAAACACGAATTCGTTCAATTTTATGTAAGATAAATCAGTACGGCTGGCAGTTGCCGCAGTAATTGAATATTTAGGAGAAACAACAGAAGGGTTTATTCGCTAGTGCGCCGATGTGTTAATATTGCGTTATGAATTAAGTTTCTCTTTCTCATTGTATTGGTGCATCTAGTCCATTCTGTTAAGGTCTGCTTCTTTTGTCTTCGTTTTTTAACCTTTGCCGTATTTATTAGGACTTCTTTCCCTCTATATTACCAAACATTTCTTATTGCGCGAATGCATCTAACTTCCTTGTTGTCTTGGTGTCTTCTCCCTCCTGTATTATCAAATCTTTACCGTATTCATTTATTTTGTTGCAGAAAAACCTTTTCCTGTGTTTTTTGGACCCATTTTTGTTTTTTGTACATCGATCGAACTGTGTGCTATTATCGTTCCCGTTGTTATTCATTAACTCTGTTATGATGCTGCAGGTGGTTTTCTGTTCCGAAGCACAAGACCTTTCAGCTGTATCCGCGGAACTTCACTGTTCGTCTCTTTTGTCAGTCGAGTTCTGAATGCCAATTATCGCAGTTATCGATTTGTGCTCGACTTTCTTGTCCAATTTCATCTCCTGAAGTAGAGAAAGAAGTGATGATCGCAGAAGAAGCAATGAAACACCCAGTTGGCCCAATGCCTACTGCGCCCACTCCTGGTGCTGCTGCTGCTGCTGCTGCTAGGGGGGGGACCTTGCTGCAGCAGCAAATGCTTATGCAGCAGCAGCAACAGCAGCGTGTTCGGCAGCTTCAGTTAAGGGGTCGCTACGGATTTGTGCCTTCCTGGATGAGTGCAGCATCTGCACCTGCGCACAATTTGGGAGTATTGTCATTTGTCTTAGCCGCGGCTGGCCTTTTCTTATTTTTTTAATTCGGGGTTTTATGTTAATTTATGTGGTTGTTTATTTATCGATGTATTTTATTTTTTGCTGTGTTTACCGCGTAGCTAGCGGCGCGTGCGCCTTTTTCCATGGGATTTAAACTGCGGAGGGAGTGAGATGCAGCCGCCTACATTTCTTCTGCTTTGTTGTTTAATTCAATTCCGACGAATAGTACTAAAGAACTAAATTGGTGTCAATTTTTAGTCCAATGTTTGTCATTTAATAATCCAACAAATAGTACTAGAGACTGCAGCGCTCTTTATCTAATAATTGAGGAGTTATTATATTCGAAGTAGACGAAGGGCATTACAAGGATAGAGTCTCCGAAAGGCAAACTTTAATAAACTTTAAACTAGTAAATCAGTTTATTGTTTTTATCAAACAAATTATTAAATTAAAGTAGCTGACGACGCCTAAACTGCACATTAAGTGAACGAACTGTCTTAAAACGACAGACCAAAAGACAAAAAGAGCTGAAGAAAAATAAATGAAAATATTTTTATGAAATTGTTGATGTTGCTGCAGTCATCAGCGTTTGCGCCTGCACGCCAAATTTGTGTGCGCTGTTGACGACGGCGATCTGTCCAAAGAAAGTCGAAATAATTAATTTTCTTGTTTTTTTTGTTTTGTTTGAATTAAATAATTTAAATTAAATCACCTGTCGTTTGTAGATTTCGTTCAACTGGGCGAAATCTGCTGCTGCAGTTGCCGCATATTAAATGCACTGCACATTGCGGTTAAACGCAGAAAAATTATATTCTCACCTGCATTTTTAAAACTTTCTGTTGTAAAAAACATAAAAATAAATAAATAATTTTTATATTTCTGTAAAATTACATTTTTCTTACGTTCCAGGGCAGGGTCGTCTGGCTGTGTCGGCGAGTATAAAGAAGGTGCGCATACACCGCAAAAGTTGAAATTATATATTTTATTACTCTTTTTAATAAAATCTCACCGCTCCATTTTTCTCTATTTCATCAGAAATAAATTTAGAAAAGGGTTTTATTGCCGTTGTTATTCTCTTTAATCTGTCTTGCAGCTTCGCTGCAGCTGCTGCGTCGATTGCAACAAACCCGTACGCCTACCGCAGGAGAACCCAATGAAAAAGAAAAATTAATTTTTATTTTTTATTGTTTATTTATTTTTATATTATTTTAATTAATTAATTGCAAATGAACAAACAAATTAATTTTTACTGCGTTCTCACCTGCCCTTTTGCGAGGTATCCCGGCTGAGTCAACTGGACGCAGAAATTGTAAGTTTAAAGAATATATATACATATAAATATATATATATATATTTATTTATTTATATTATATATGTATGGTTGTATACATATATGTGTATATATATAGAATAGATTATGTATTATGCTCATGTTTTATTCATTTATTGACTACATTATATAATATATATAT